CAGGTGTTGATAATGGAAATTCTATTACACGAAATCCAGATAAATTCCCAGGTCAAGTAAGAATACAAAAATCTTAAACTATACAAAGGATTATCCAAAGTTTATCCAGCCCTCACACACAGCAGAGCCTAAACCAGAGCCTTCCTGCATTTAATGCATACTTTTTAAATAAGAAAAAGATTTGCCCTTGAGGCAAATTAGCTGAGTGGTCTGGCACTGTCTCAGTATGCTATCATGTCTTTCTCTCTTACATATCCAAGTTCCTTTCTTGCAGGTTGCCTAGAGCAGAGGCAAGACTAGCTTTATGAATAGGCAGCTTATCCGTTGTATAAGGCACTGGTCTCCAAAGTGGTATACACATACCCCAGGGGGGCACAAGACAATCAACTGGACTGCAGGAAGGAAATACTTTTAGTACTATTAACAAAAAAAAATTGTGGTTATTACATCTTTATTTTACCCTTTTTTAATTTCTAAATTTGGTTACTTTTTACAATGTACTTAATACATTCTTTCAGTAGTACATCTATATTGTTTATAAATAAATACACATCTATTGAGGGTGCGTGAATACATGTAATGCTTGAAAATGCCTTTGCTGTAGGCCCAGCCTGAAAAATTACAGTTTCAGGAACTGATATTTCTTCAGCTTGGTTGAATTTTAGCTCTTACCACTCATGATTTTATGAAAATACAGGGGCACCTACACCTCATTCCACCACACTATAGGTTTAGCTTAACTAGCCTTCATGCTATACCCTTTCAAATGCTCTTGACCAGCTTGTGCAGAAAACAGAATTTGTTTAACACACCAATTATCCAAAAGTCTGAAATAAACCATTCAAGACTCTTTACAGAATATGTCAGTTTGTCAGAGGCCTTCCATTTTACTCAGAGGAGAACAAAAGGTCAAAATACAAACCTTTGAAAACTCCAACTGGAAGAAAATAAAAAAAACCTTCTATTTCCCCAGTATGTGACATTCTCTAGACTCCTTTTTGTGTTGATTTTCATTATCTTGCAATAACTAGTTTCTGAGAAAGATCAAAATCATAAACAACCCGAGAAAAATGCTTTGGTTCTAAAAAAAGGAACAGAAATCTAATGGGAAGAATTATTATCATGTAACTTCTAGACAATCTAACAGATACAGGTGGCTTGGATCATTCTCACAAACGTTAGATTAGCCTTCAATTTCAGGTGCTTTATTTTAAGTTACCCTTAGGATGTGAGGATATATTCTTAGCTCGGTTTAGATCAGTGGGAATTTTGCCATAGATTCCAAGGGGTCTTTACCTTCTGCAATTCTGCCTTAACAAGATATCTGTGCATGCCAAAAACTGGATCTTGATTTATTTGCAAATTATTGCTAAAAGTATTTGGCTTAACATATAATGGGTTCAAATTTTCAGGTGGTATAAATCAGTATAAAAGCAGAACTATGTCAGTTTAATCCAACTGAGGATATACCAGTCAGTTTTACCCTATTTAAGATCATTCATAGTAGTAAAGTAATTGTTTTAAAGTCTTCCTGGTTTTATACAGCAGATAGTGACAGTGGTTTCACCCAGGGCTACTGCATTTTTGTGGGTATGATCTGCAAATCAAGCAAACCTTTCTTTCCAAAAATGTATTATTCCTTGAAAGTAAGTATACAATTAACCTATATTTTTCATTCAGCCCTGGCACCACTGAGCAATCAGGTGCTGTATTTAAATTTAGACAACACAAACGTAAACATGCCTTTGCAGCACTGCTTACAATAGAGGAACTGAGTAACAGTGGTTCATTTCTACTAAAAAGTTGCTTCATATTAGCCATTTGTGCAGTTCTATGTATTAGTAATTAACAACCAGCAACAACTGTGCAAGATCCTCTTTCAACCTTCTTTTTAAGAAATAATAAAAAAAGAAAACCTCAATTAATTTTTACTTAATGTAGTGTTTGTATGATAAAAGAGAAATTTGCCAGTTAGGACTCAGGCATTTAATAGACTAGTTAAGAGAAAGAAAAGACATAGCATTGAGAGACAGAAAAACACCTTAACACAATTGCAACTGTTAAGCAACGTCTTCCCCCTGTGACTTCTATAGACATACTTACTCCATGCTGATGCAGAGTAGAAGAGGGAGGTTCTCTTAGCTAACCAGTAAGTATTTAAGAAAAGTTAGAAAATGTTGGTATTTGCCTTATTTTAAAATAATATAAACGATTTGAAAGTCAAAGATTAAGCAATATAAGATATGGGAGAGCAAATCCATGTCATACATAATAATTATAATTATGAACTCACGCTGTTGCAGTGGTTTGTTGGACTAAAGCTCACATAATGGAAAATACTATAATGCAGAAAATAAATAAAATCAAAATATCATTGCCTAACTTAATGAAAATGAATTTATCAGGTAGGAGTTTACAGCATGGAAAGTTCTTATTAATTGTTTCACTGGAAAAGTATCTTGACTTTGGATTAATCTTTATTACTGTACTGTATAAAAGCACTACCAGTTTGGATAAGAAATAGATGTATGAAAGCTTAAAACCCTTCACCTGCTCATCCTGCCTCTAAGATTCCAGCTAGCAAATGCTTCTTCAAAATTTCCAGCAAAAGGTAGGCGTGACCAGCAACTAATATCTTTTAATGCAAAACTTTTTTCTTCAGCACAGAAGGGCAAATTCTTTTCGCTCAGAGAAAAACCACAAAATCAAGTAATTATCAAATTCTGTAACTATACAAGTGCTGTTTGAAATAAATTGTTGATGATAGTGAACTTTCCATCGATTTCCATAAAGTATTGTAAAATATCATATAATAGTTTGGGTTGGAAGGGATCTTCAAAGGTTATCTAGTCCAACCCCTCCTGCAATGAGCAGGGGCATCTTCAACTAGATCAAGTTGCCCAGAACCACACCCAGCCCGGCCTTGAATGTCTCCAGGAATGGCGATCTACCACCCCTTTGGGCAACCTGTGCCAGTGTTCTCCCTCATCATACAAAAATTTCTTCCTTATATCTAGTGTGAATCTACCCTCCTTTAGTTTAAAACCATTACCCCATGTCCTGTTGCAACAGGCCCTACTAAGAAGTTTGGCCCTATCTTTCTTACAAGCCTCCGTTAAGTATTGAAAGGTTCAAAATATTTCCCAAATTATCCCTGAAATACCTGCTAACTTCTCTGAAGTTACAACAGCAGTAAGTAACATCAATAATCAAGTACTAACTGAGAAAATGATGGATAAATGTCTTCAATTTGACTGTCAACAGAGGTGTATTTGCCACTAAGTTTCACATATTCAGCGATTTATGTGGCACACATGGCTCCTGCTGAACTCTGTAAGCAGCTAAACAGGAAAACTGCAAGTCAGGCATGCTCTATCCCTTTTTCATGAAGGAAGAGAAATGGAGACGATGCGGTAAGAGCTGTGAAATTCATGCTACAAGGTGCATTTTTAGTGTAAATTCAGTATCATGTTCAGTATCTTTAGTGATAAGCTATAATGCAGAGTACCTCACTCATTCAACATAGCCTTCTTCAAAAGTAATCAAGACCTATATAAAAAACTAACCAGATTTTTTTCTCCATTACTAGTCCTTTAAAAGGCTGTTGCTTTGCTGCTTTAGTAGTTAGAAAACACTTTACAGCACCCAGGTAAAATGCGTTCAAGATAGTTCATACTATTTTTCTTGTGCCAAAGCTGCCAAAGGGGAAGAATTTCTCTTCCTCATGGTTTCAGAGGAACAATATAACCTCCAGACCTCATCTTGTTTGTCTAAATGAAACAAATGTTAGCTGCTTTCTCTTGGGAAGTAGCTGCCTTCCCTGATACATTAGTGCTAGCTAACTTCTCCTGTGTATCCACTTTTCTGAACACAAATGACCAGAACTGTACCCACAATTCTAGATAAAATCCAGAAAAAATAACAGGGCTATCTAAAATGGCATGAATGTTTCCTTCTCTGCCTTGTCTGTCCTGTTCCTGTCTCTCTGTCCCCTCATACCTAGCTAGATATGTTTTTGGTCACACTTGCCATTTTTTACAGCCACAGGATTTGGATGGCTTACAGTTAATCCTATGGTTGACTTCTCTCTATGCAGAACACAACATATAATTATATGTAGTATAAAACCATATAAATCATATTGCTTTTTTTTATTATACCTTGTAATTAAATTTGTTTCATGACAGAGATTATTAATGTGTGCTTCACTCAATAAGCCTTTCAACACTAATGGGCATGTTTAGTTCAGAATTATTGTCTAAATGTTCCTCTGGGTGGCTAACCTGAAATATTTTTCATGATACAAAAAATCTGCCCGCATAATTAGTTTGTTTCTGGTTCTTTACAATAGCTGAAATTGATTCATAGTTCTAATTCATAATTCACTAAACCTGCTACAAATTCAAACAAATTAACATGTCATTTCAAAAATTAAGCAAGTCTACTGACTTCTGTGTACCTCAACTACCCAGAAATAAAACCTTTCACATGCTTATTAAAGATTTGAAAAAATGAAAAATCTAATAAACACCAAGGTTTGTTCCCACAACAGATTAGAATAATATTCTGTGGTAAACTGTCAAGGGTGCTTCCAGAAAAAAGTAATTAGATGATACACATTTCAGGCTGATTTGAAGATGGAGGGAAATTTCCCATAGATTTTGATAGAATAAGGATTATGAAGTGTGGGCCAAATTATTCTGGACATAGTTTCTGACTTCTCTGGTACAACAACAGCAAGGAGTAATTCCAGTAAGTAAATGTTAATGCCTTTAAATTCCTGAGAAAATTGAACCTTACTTTCTCTGACAATATCCTAAGACCCATATTTACATGTGTCGTTCCAAAGTCAAAGACTATAGTCATTGGCAAATCAATGCAGTGATATCTAGAAGATACGTTGGTATCCAGATACAGGGTAAGAAATTGCTTTCTAATTTACTGTAGTAAATAAATAAAGCATTGAAATGTATGAAACCCAATTTATCTATTTCACTGACCTTGAAGCTGGCGTCCTTTATACAAATCCTTTGTTTTGGTTGGGTGTGCTCTGGCACCATTATCACACTTCGGTTGTTCATACCTAAAGAACAAACAGGGAGAGAATAAAACCAGTGAAGGTTAATTTGATTTAGGACTAATTTATTTCTAAGTATCTAGTCCAAATTAAACATGTAGCTTCTTTTATTCAGGGAATAAGACTGCTTTTCATTCAGAAGAGGCAATGAAAATTCATCTGCCTATTTTCCACTTAAGGAAGTTAGTACATCTTTATTCTCCTGGTGTTGATACAAAACTAAAAAATCATTATCTATTCCAAAATCCAGGTTTCCCAAAGAAGCTGTGGATGTCCCATCCCTGGCAGTCCTCAAGGCCAGGTTGGATGGGGCTTTGAGCAATCTCGTCCAGTGGAAGGTGTTCCTGCCCATGGCAGGAGGGTTGGAACTAGATGATCTTTTAGGTCCCTTCCAACTCAAACCATTCTATAATTCTATGACATGATATGATTCTATCTGTACTTCCAACAAACATGGACAGCACCACTAGCGGTAATTTTTTTTATGCGAGCCTGGGAGGCATGGGAGCATCTGCTGCTGAATCTCTCCTCTTTTCTTGTATCTCACTATAGATACATGGTAGGTTTTCACACACCTGTTCACTGAATTCAGGTTCTTTCATATTCTATGTATCTTCCTTGAAATTTTAAGTTCTCCAAATTACATTCACTGCATTGCACACTAAAATGTCTAATTAAAATATACTAATACAAAGTTTTGGAACAAAATAATCTTTTTTAAAACATTAAATGGTGGCTATGTCCAGATGGCCATTAATAATGGTGACTCCAGGCCAGACTGCCCCCAAGAACAGTATCTAAGTATTCTGATCTTAATTATCAGGCACAAAGAAAAAAAACAATATTATTTTTCTTTTGAGTGCTTAATGTATTTTCACATCATCTGATGAAACTGCCCACTGGCCCATCAAATTTTGGCTGCTGCAAGAAGGTAGAATGTTGTTTTCACGGACATGGGAGAGCTAAGGGCCCTTTTTTCCCCAAGTGAATGTCAGGAATAGAAGCTGCTTTGATAGCAAAGGTTGGATTCAGATACCTGATGGATGACCACTTCAATCAGCCAAGAAAAGAGTGAAAGGGAAATCTGTGAGCAGTACTCACTAATGCAGTATCTGGCAACCAGCCTGGTCCCCAATTAATCTGATACCTGACTCTGCATTCCCCTCATCCTCTTCCGTTATTGTTACTGCTTGGTGCCTACACTTTCTTTTTGGCCTCTACTCTTCCACCCTTTTGGCTTTTTTGTTAAATACACATGTAGTTAATCATATACACTAAATCTATTAAAGACCAATAAGTGTTAAAATGCTGCAATATGAAAACTCTACGTTTAACTCTTTAAAGCAACTTAAGAAAGAAAATGAATCATTAGAAATTTCCCATACAGGATCAGCCATGCTAAGAACTGATAAGAAAAACACACTTGCCTCAGTTTTTTTTTAAAGGATAGTATGTCAGAGGGGAGTACTGTCAGGTTAAAAGTAATGTAGTCAAAAGACATCTCAAGTTACTCTTTTGAATTTTAAAGAGGAAAGAATCCCTAGCAGTGAATGTATACCTAGAGTTGGCAAGGGCTTATGAAGCCTACTTATACCTCTGAGCAGTCTGCTGGGAAGCACTGAGATTTACTGAGGCGTACAAAGCAGTAGCGGATGGAGGCTTTCACAGGGATTCTACAGTGTCAGTAGCCTCATGAAACTGATGATTTATATACTTTTTTAAGTTTAGAGATTCCTGTGGAAGTGGATTGGAGATTACTTTGCCCATGATCCAAGTCACATGTGAAAACACAGACTCATGGCCCTGCTAAGCAAAAAGGCTGAGTCACACTGTGATGTCCAAGAGGCATTGTGAGCCAGCTGGTGAAAACCATACTGACAGACTACGGGTAATGGTTGATTGTACCCTTTAAATGCATTACCTACTTTTAGTCAAATGAATGTTTCCAGCTTTCTACCACAACTTCACCTATTTCTTGTGCATTTTAGTGTCATGAATGTCCTAGAGTGGTTCTTCATTCACATATCTTTATTTTAACTCTAGAATGATATTTCTTTTTTTTTTTTCTGGAATACCTTTACTGACAAATTTTTTATCTTTTTTCAGATGATGGGATATTAGAAGGTAAATGAATATTAGTAAATTCCCTTCATTATTTTGGGAGGCTAATTTAATGCAACTACTATTTATTTATTGTGGTATTCAGAGCCTGATGATATGACAAATTTCATCCTTATGAATGTATTCAAAACCAACAACATGACAAATGCTATACTGTTCTGGCAACAGCTTTCCAGATCTGTCTACGCTTTCACTGTTGTCCCCTAATGATATGATCCAGATTTGAAAAACAGAGATTCCAGGATTCAATGCATCCATCTTGCTACCAGGACTACTAATGCTATTGGTTCCTGCAGCAGCATTTTAACAGCTACTCTTCCAATCTGTATTTGGCAATGGGAAGCTGGACAATAGCATGCACCATTTTTCATGAGCATCTGGTTCTTTAAACGAGGAAAGACTCACATGTTCACTCTTCATTCTACAAGAAAGAATTACAGAAAGACAACTGCATACTTATCATATTCTGATCCCCCTTCCCTTTGCCAGAGGGAAAAAAAAAGTTTATCAATACAGGGGGGAAAAAAAAAAAGTTGGGATTCCAGCCCATCTAAATCTTTCTCAGAAATGAGGTCTAGACACTCCTTTTAAACTCCAGGCAGTAATCCCACCTGCTTGTTTACCAGATTCCTAAATACATCTGTCATTCTTTACTTAGTATGAAACTCCTAAAATTCAGTACTCTACTTACCCATCTGTGTTCAGAAATGTCCTCTCCAGGGATATTACTAAACGTTACTTCCTCAGAGCTCCAATGAGAACTGCCCATTAAGTCCAGCAAAGCTGAACAAGTTAGAAATGGTAAAGACCACAGCAGCTGATCTTTCTAGTAACAACCACCAGGCAGAGCACTCACACAAAAGGAAGATTTGTGTCTAAACCATATGCATGAAATGCTTGAATCCAATTTGCTGGCCTTCCAACTTTGGAGACCAAAGCTGCAGCACAGTGAAAGACCTCCCTGTCACCTCTTCTCCACAGCTGAGTGGCTGTGTAGCTGCCTAACAGAATAGGCCAGCAGACCAAACAGGAAAAAAAGAAGATGGAAACTGATTCTAGATACATAGGTGATTCACTAAGGGGTTGGGAAGACTTAGAATTCTAGTCTGTGTTACAGTAGCTGTCAAAATCACATGCACTGCATGCACACTATACACACAAATAGGAAAGTGAACTGGGAGGTGATAAAGCAAATCTTCCTAGAAGCTATTTCAAGACATATGAGGGATAAAGAATGTGATTGAGAGTAGTCAGCATGGATTTATGAAGAGGAAATCATGCTTGGCCCTGCAACCCTCTATAATGAGATGGCTGGCTCAGTGAGATGAGCAGATATTATCTTAATTTTAGCATGGGTTTTGACACTGTCTCTGATTACATTCTCATAGACAAATTGCTGAAGTATGAGCTAGATAAATGAACTTTGAGGTGTGTTGAAAACTGGCTGAACTAGCAGTCTCAAAGAATTGGGATCAGCAGCACAAATTTCAGCCCAAAGCCAGTTACCAGTGGAGTGCCCCAGAGTTCAATACTAGAGCCAGTATTGTTTAGCCTATTCATTAATGACCAGGTTTCTGGAACAGAGAAAATTTTAGCAATTTTCCAGATCATACAAAACTGGGAGGAGCTGCTGATACACCAGAGGATTGTGCTGCCATTCAGAGGGACCTCAACAGGCTGGACAAATGGGTTGGCGGGAATCTCGTAAAGTTAAGAAAAGGCAAATGCAAAAATCGCACACCTGGGGAAGATTAATCCCCTGCATCAGCACAGGATGGAAGCCAAACAGCTGGATTTGGAGTCAAATTAGAGAATAGGTTCCATAAAATGATTTAAAGTATAATTCAATGTAGGATTAGCACTAAAAATTAGAATCAGGGAACAAACCTAAGGGTGGAGAATGGAGGACTAGCAGAAAAAGGAGCCTCTGGACATGTCTAGGTCCTCACACAATATGTGCAGTGATTCTACAGTTTCAGGATCAAATTTCAATTATTCTGGTTTGATACTTTATGGATCTCAACTTGTAAGAAACAGCAGATACACAGTAACTTTAAGTCATGCTCACTTCAGCTGGTACTGCAGTTGGAATGGTCTAGACTATGGTATAAAAACAGCTGTCAGTAAAACAGCACTTGAGGAACACATGAAAAACACTCCCCAAGAATATAATACTTTACAGCGAATGGCTTACAATGTTTTTTCATGAACCTTATGTAAATGATAAAAAAACATTTTGCTTAAGCTTGAAAATATTTATGATTGCATCAAGATACCCATACTGCTCTCCAGCTTTACATGAGCTCCTATAGCATTCCTACAAGAGCCAAACCTCAATAACCAGGCTAAATAACATCCTTTGGAACCTGATACTTGCCTTGCCTGCATCTGCTGTATGTGGCTCACAACACTTTACCATGTATCCGGCTCAGCTGAGACAACTCAACTCCAACCTTCTATTAATAACACACGAAAATGATATTTCCCCTTTATGGGTTCCCAAGCAATTGTTCCATCAAAAACAGTCCTATGAAATAGTTGAGGAGGATGCTGGAAAAATAACTGTACAATTCTGAGGTTGGATGTGGTTTCGGTTATGGACCATCTTACTTAGTTCTTCTATGTTCAAGCTAAGGAGTGTGAGGTTTCCTCTTGGCTTACTCATCTGCTCCAAGCCTTGGCTTCCCAGGACATAATTAAAGTAAAAGAGAGGACTAGGGGAGCAAGCTGCCTATGACATTGCAGTGAAAAAGTCTGTGGCCACATGACCTTAACTTTTGATGTCTCTAATATATGTATTTCACTTCAAAGTGGAAGAAACCGAGCAACAGTAATCTACATGCTAGTTAGTACATGCATACTAAGGCATCTCACTACAAATTTAGAGCACTGAATGTGTATTAACTTACCTGGTTGATGTACCAGGGATAGGACGTCCCGTATCCACCAGAACACACCAGCAGTAGCCTGTGGAAGGATGACACTGCACTGGTTTGTAGAGGCCACCCTGAGCACACTCTGGAATGAACACATTGTCTTTCTGAGGCTGTTTAGCTTCCTCCAGAGCTGACTGAAGTTCTTGATCACATGATGACGCTTTTGGAAGGAAAAGAAAAAAGACTGAAGAAGGTATATGGAAAGGGTCTGACAGCTTTATCAAACACTTTTTTTGACTTTCTTTGACTGTTTTTAAGAATTGTATTCAAAGCGGCTCACTACAGCTCAAATAACAGCTACATTGGTTTATGCTGTCTACTGTTAGGAACTTTAGTTTCCTTTTCATGCAGCTGCTTCATAATACAGTCCTAATAACATCTGGACACCCTGTTTCCCTTACTAGATATAATCTATGGTTAACCTAATACTTTCTCTGTCACCTTAAAAAACATCTTAGTCTACTCCACAGTCCCTAAACTACTGATTCTTTTCCAAGAGAACAGAAAAAATCTACTTAGAATTCCTTATATGAATTCATCTAGATATTTACTTAGATGTTTATATTCTGCTCTTTCTTTTCAGTTTTGGAAAAAGCATCTTAATACAGTGAAAAGTCTTCCATCTTCTTTTCCGGTAATTCTGGTATTGGTGATGTACCATTTGCTCTAGAGACCGAAGACTCATGAGAAAAAGTAATAATTTTTATATCTGCATTAACAATATGTCCCAGATCTCTTCTGGATGTGAGAAAACCTTACGTAACTACACATTCCTAGCCTTTATGTGAAACTATGAATCAGGAGGCAAAGAGCAGAAATGCCAGGGCCTGAGAATGCCAGACAGTTCACACTAATCGGAAAAAAAACCTCTGCCAAGGAGGTTCTGATCACCACTAAATTGGTGTATGTGGCATTACAGGGATAACAAATGAGACAGTCTATTTACACAAGCCATGATTTCTTCAGGAACTTTAAGGTCAGTCTCCTATCATGTGGAATTTATATAGTTAAGTACATCACTTGGCTTAGTTGTTCACTTTTTATGTTTTGTATATAATCAAGCAAAAAAGAGCAAATGGGGTGAAGCAACTGCAGTGAGAGGGTGGAAATCATTACTCCTCCTTAAACTCCACTAAATTCTTTTCTCTTTCATACTGATAAACCTTGGGAACATTCCATTAGCTACTGTGACCTTCTCTCATTTTACATCCTTGTAACCAGCACACAATCTGGCAAATGTGCAAGTATTATTATCTCTCATAAACCCAGAGGAGCAATACATTTTCATGCTCTCGTCTGTGTTTAGAAAACACATTGGTGTATAGAGATTACACAGTCAGGTCATCCAGACAGACAAAATGTAACAGCATGAAGGGGATGTGGTGGAGAATTCCCAGAGCAGAAGGAGATACAGATTGTTTCAGCTGCTAGCATAAGCTACACCACCTAATTTCTGGGAAGCTCTAGTTTCCACTGATTGAAACAACCAGAGAAAGACTGCTCTGCTGACTCAAAACCACTGGAGTCAAGGGCCAGTGCAGACATGTGATGTGGTGATCTTAGAGCAGGTGTTACAGATCTAGCTAAGTTGTCTTTACTCTCCTGACTGACTTGCCTAGGCAAGGTTTTCTACAAGGTGCTGCTCAAGCTAGAAATTTCTCTTTTGCACTAGGTGAGATTTGTTCTGATCCTTTTTCTCCTGAATGTCTGGTTTAAAGTTTTAGAGGTACAGAAAAAGCAGTATTGTGGGAGAGATGTTAAAGGAGGGTTGCAAATGTGGCTTACAGCTTTAGGAGGAAGAGTCAGAAGACCCATGGAATTTAACAGTGCAAGTGAGACTGGAAACAGGACAGCCAGCAACAACAATCAAAGGAAAGTTTAAAGATTAAAAGGAATGCTTTTAATTGCAAAAGTCTATGAAAAACAGACCAAAAAAACCAGGAGTCATACCAAACACAAAGGTAAAACTCCTGTAACTGGGAGGACCCTAGTGATGAAAAGTCTGCCCTTGAAGAGCAGCATCAGCAGAGGCATTCCAGAAAAAAAAAACAAAACATACATAAAAAAAACTATGGTATTTTCAAGGAAGGCGTTTCTCTTGTTGGAACCTTTAATCTCCTACTCTTCTCTTATGGATGTAAATTTGCAACAAGAAGAGAAATTTATCATTAGTCCTAAATTAAGTCTTGGATAAAATGTAGATTATTTTTGACAAATTGGTAGAAATATATATTAGTGTAATGGACATGTCTGTCAGGTCTCTGTGTGCCAAATGACTG